TTAACCGTTCTTATCATCCTTTTGATATTTTAAATTACAAATCCTCTCGATTTATGGATTCCCTTTTCAAATTTTAAATATTTTATCAAATATAATCGATTTCTATGCTGTGTTTAATTGTGAGTTATGAACGATAAGAAGACAAGATATGGCGATAAAAAAGATGCATCCTAAGATGATATCGATCGTGGTAACAACTGTGACAACTTGTTACAGCCGCCATTAAACAAAAATGTTCCACGTGCAATCATCAATGATTGCATAAGACAGTCTTGTAGGTGCCATTTAAAAAATGCCACACAAACGCTGTCTGTTTGATCCGTGACTCGTCTAATGTATGCAAACAACATATTTTCCTCAACATAGTGCAACGCATACAATAAAACAATGCACATTAAAATGTGAGTCGAGCGAGTTTTTTATACGGGGGAAAAAATGCGATATGCACATAAACGGCAATGGCTACTAGGAAACCCGCATTGGAAGTTGCACGTGGCGCGTTTCTGCCTACCGCTGGCCGTTTGACCCTAAGGTACATTATAACGCTAAAAGTTCGCACTTAAGACCTTTGGTGTTCGCAGCACAATCGCGGTCAGACCTTAAGGACAGTGCTTCCGATCCTTTCTGATTGCAAAAGTGTGCCGCTCTTGATTTTTATACAAGTTGCACTTTCAAATTAAAGTTGATCTTTATTCGCGGTTAAACGAAATATGCGAAACTTTAACAATCTCCTCTAAAATCCAATGGCAGTAGCTGATATTCACATATGACCGGTGTCGATAAGTTATTGTTATCCAACGATATTTTAATGCTGTATGATGTGATGGGACTGTCAATGTAAGAGCGTGTCTATTACACCGTGTATATGCAATGGGAAACTGACAAAAAAATCCAAGACGAATGTGCAATCGGTCGCGGGAAAATTTCATTTACGACTCGGCGAAGTCGTAAATCTATCGCTATCAATCATCCAATGGACATTGACGCGTTGCGAAAACTGTAGATGCGCTCGGATTTGTCGCTAAATTCACAATGCGATCGCACAGTTGTATGCTCTAAGTGGTTGAGCTAGAGTTCATTATTAACTAGCTCACGTCACGCTACACAGTAAAAACTTTCGTCGCCACTTACCTGCATAAACAGCCAATGTATTATGGCACTTGAATATCGTTGAAATTTCCTCCGTTACTTGCGTTTTTCTCGCTATAACGCGATGCGAGGGATCAAATTGTTGTGGTCTTCTAACAAGTATTTACGCAGATATTTTTTTCTAATCGCTTAATAACGCAGTCCATCACGTACGAACTACGCAAGTAAGATGATACATTACATCACTTTTAGAAACAAAGTACCGAGAGGCATCGTATCAATACAGAAATGTTCTTGTTTTTAGAGGGGTCAGTTTTGAAGCAGTCAATTAAAAAAAACTTGTGATGTACGGTACTCATATAATTATAACTAGTGGTCGCCTAGTGGTCCGTAATTACTTATACACGGCAGAGTGTGCAGTGTTTTTTTATTGATTTAATCTATTTTTATGCATAATTTTTTAAAAATAGTTCACTCCTTTTCTATAAATAAAATAAACTTTATGTGAGAAATTTCATACTCATCCGTCTCCGCAATATTCGTAAAAAGGGGTACAAAGTTTTTGCTACACGTATTAATATATAGATGAAATTACCCGACACTGTAGGTACCCGACAAGTACATGCATTCAACAGTCAGGAAACGTACAAACAATTTAACACACAAACACTCACAGCAGTGCTACATATTTCTTATTCCCTTTTAAAATCTTTAGATATAGAGGACTCTACAGAGAAACATACAAAAGAAAATGAAAAGGCAAATGCCAGGCCTCACGAATTTTAAATAAAAAAATTTATATTATGTTGTGCTTAACTAATCTGTATATCTAAAGAATTTTCGCTTAATTATTGTATACCAAGTATTCTCACTACCGGCATACAAATGTATTTTTTACCGCAATTTTTTGCCATAAAATTACGCTTACAAATATTCTAAACCCGTTTACAGTTCATCTTGTTTCCATATGATCTCTGTATTAATGGAACTTTTCTAGTTGCCAAACGCGAAGGTTGATTTTTTTTTAAACTATGAATATAATAAACCTATAATAAATTATATCCTTTACAGATCTTTCATAAACCCCCTTAAATAATTGAGAGTATATAACATACTTCTTACTATCAGGTGCGATGTTAATTTGTTTGTTAATAATTTAAAAAAATAATCTTAGAACAACTTTAAGACGAACGTTATTGAGATGACAGATAAGGCTGTATTCAAAACCGACATAAAAGACGAATAAGCGATTGAAATACGTGTTTTTCCCAATTAAACATAAAAGCAGCGGCGTACAGAATCTTCACGACCCGACGCAAGACGTCGCTTGCGTCCCTTCTACTACGCACAGAGCGACATAGCGTAATGACTTTTTTACAGCCAGATATAATGACATTATTGCCTCTTAATCAACTCAATGTGGGGGCTTTAAATTATAATTGTGCTCCTGTCACTTGCAACATAAACAGTGGGCTTTTTTGCGCCGGTAACCGACCTTTGGACGTTTTTAGGGCCGCTTAAGCCGCGGCCACATCGAGCCCACGCGAAGTATTGCATAATGACGATGCAAGAAGTTTACTGTATTGATTTCTATTTAATCTGTGGCAGTTTAGTTAGTTACAGCCGAGTCTAGAGTTATGCACGTTTGCCTCGGTTTGCGTGAATAGGTATTGCAACGATCTAAGTTTGTTAAATTTGTACTAAATGCGTTTTTTTTAATCTGTGCCTGTAGCGTGGCAGAGTGTAGAGTTATCTTACGGTGTAGATTTTCAGTTTGCATTTGCGAAGAGGCAGTATTGTAGTTTGTATATACCCTTGCCTTAGTCTTACATAAGCTTTTATTTTGATAGATAAGATAAGCGACAGACATAGCCGTGTTAATTATACAATTATATCAGTATGGTAAGATACACCACAAAGCGTGTTTACTTTGAACTTATAATGTATTACATTATATTTTTTAATTACTGGATATAGTCGTAGACAAACTCAATAAACACTGCCCTATTCATTTTAACTTTACAGAAAAAAATCTCTTAAATCAATACACGCCCATCGTTAAGAGCACCCTCGTAAATTCAATCAATTATTCTGTCTTGAAGGCAATTTAATTTCCTTTGTTTTTCATAACCCATCATCATCATCATCATCATTTCAACGTGTTTGAGTCCACTGCTGAACATAGGCCTCCCCCATAGACTGCCACGAAGTACGATCCTTTGCCACCTGCATCCATCGACCTCCCGCACATTTGCACAGGTCGTCATTCCATCTAATGGGGGGTCGTCCTACACCGCGATGGCCAGTACGAGGCTGCCACTCGCGAACCTTTCTTCCCCAACGGTTATCGGTTCTACGAGCTATATGGCCTGCCCATCGTCACATCGGCTTGCTAATCATCTGAGCTATGTCGGTTACATTGGTTCTAATGCGGATCTTCGTTACGAACTCTATCACGCAGAGAAATACCATAAGTAAATACCATAACCCATAAATTGTATATTTTAACTTAACTTCTGTTATTAATCTATTGTCTTTTGCATTTAACGTTAAGCGTCTTCATCGATATCACCCAAATTTATAATTACCTCCAACAGCGGTGCGTATTAAATATGACATTGGGTTATCAAACCTGTCAAGTCGTATAGCCATGGGTGCAGCAATTAATTCGAACTGTGAACCAGAGAAATCTTTTGCAATAAATATTTTGATAGCTTCATAAATATTAATTTGCACAACATTATTTTTGGTTGTCTATTTGTTTTAAACGGTAATCCAACTCCTATGATAAGAAAGAGCATGTTGTATATTTGTATGAACACTTTTTTTGTTCTTTGACAGAGTAACGCTTCTGAAAGTGAGAAAGCAGAAGTTTAACCATCCTTTTGGCTACTCAGATGACACTTGAAAAGCCATTTGACAGCTGATTAGTAAATTTTTACGATGATCAGTGTTTCAGAAACGGGTGTTAATCTTGTCAAAACATAACTTTGAAGATTGGAACGCACCGCTGATGTGACACCAGTTCCTTATTAATAAAGTTCCTTTATAAAATAATATCCTTATGAATAAAAGTCCTATCTTTATATATATATAATTCTTTTGTACGTGTGTATGACACTGCACTCCTCCTAAACGGTCGAATTGAGAATGGTTTAGATTCACAATTCGGGAGACTACAACTTTTTTTATTTAAAAGTAATTTGATTTAAGTCGTGTGTACAGGGCGTCTGTTGGGTCCGCTAAAATAGAATACAATTTAAACCAACATGGTACATGAAAATTATATCAAAATGATTGCTTCGTTTGTCTATTAAGTAACAAACTGTGACGCACACTTGTCCCTCGTCGATTACAGAAGATGCCTAGACCCCGTATGCTCGCTGCCTTAGAATAATGAAATGTCACCACATGCATAATAAATCGAAATATCCAAGCCCTATTAAAACTCACGTTTCCTATGCCATAACTTTGTTAAAGCTTACGAGCATTCATTACTTAAGTGCGTACTGCATAATTAATGACAACTATAATTTTAATGGCTTACTTTTTATACTACTAGATCGCCTTTTTCTGGCATTTTTTCCCTTATAAAATTACCACAACAGCTGCGAATATTTATATTTAACGTCCATTAGTCTAAAATAACACCAAGAGTTTGTGACTTATCTATCAATAATGTTAACGTTTAGAGTTAGTCGAGAGTTCGGCATGTTTTGATTAAAGAATTGAAAGATAACGTCAATTAAATCACTGCCTTTCCTGGCATTAAGTTTACGCGGCGTTCGGTGTATTTTAGGGTCCCTCTTTTTTACAACTGCCACGAAAATCGAAGCACGTTTGAAATTGGAACAAATCTCGGTGCGGCGAGCTGCCGGCCGCATAAGTAGGAAGTCCCGATTAAACCCGTAATGTGCTCAAGTGACGTTCGTTTGTTAAACTACCACCGGTGCCGTATGACCCGCTTCCTCGCCCCCCGCCCAGGTTCAGCGGGCCTTAGAGGGGTCCGTCGGCCCGTGGCCAGGAGTCCTCGTTATCTGGTGGATATATTGGCTCGATTGGCCGGCCGGATGCTTACTCAAGACGGCCGCCGCGCGCCTCTAGTGTTTGTGGGTTAGTGTTCATAGAGTTTTTGTCGGTCGCTGCGAGTCCACGCCGCTTCGACACCGCCCGTGCCCACTTCCGCGGCCTAATCATTTTATTAACACCGCCCAATGAGCGAGCCTCCATCGCGCAAAAACTTCCGAACGCCGACAAATGACCTCTGTCCGACAATTTCCAGCAACCCAATTAGCTCGAGATTTTACAGTATGCTCCCTTCTCAATCCCCTTTCGTTAATATAGAACTTTATTTTGGTAACTTCATTATGCTTAGTAATTTTCGGGGCTTCCAAATCAATTTGAACAAAATGTCATATCCAAAAGGTAGGGCCACGCAACTGCTTCGGCTGTTGCATGAATGGGCTGGTTTCGTCCGGGTAAGTACCACGACCAGACGACGAGCGTGAAGTGGAAGTGTAATACTTGCTGCGTGTTGCGTCTTGTGGCAAGCATCTGCCTACGGGTATTGCAGATGTCTAGCCATAGGCGTATATAGCAGGGGGGCCGGGTGGGCTATGCCCACCCCAGTATCGTCTAGTGCCCACCCCAGGATTTTGGGGTAGGTACTGATTAGAAATTCTAGGCTGGATGCCTAAGAAACTTCATAAAAAAAATCATTGAAATCAAATCATTATCTATGAAATACACCTGAGAAATCTATGTACATAATTAGTTTTTATTATATACTATTTTACAATACATTCCGTTTATTTACTTGTGAATACACATCGTACTAACTACTTATTAGCTAATACCACTATTATAAATTAAGATAAATTATTAACGATATCGAACTGTTACTTCTTTAATAAGACGCACAGTGTTCGATTTTTTTTGTAAAGGCCCAGGCCCACCCTGAAAAATAGACCTAGATACGCCGATGTGTCTAGGCGGGGCTTACTTTATTAAAAGGTGGCAACGCATCCGCAACCCTACGGGTGTTGCAAATGTCCATGGGCAGCGGTAATCACTTAACATCAAGTGGACTGCCAGTTCGCTTGCCACCTTCTCAGATTAAAAAAAAATCTATTGTTTGTTAAGATGTTTCTATGTTCGTACTAAATAAAATCTCGTCTGTATCGGGAGAAACCCATCATTAGCATAGCGAATTAAAAAATATATTATGTTTCCAAAGAGTCGAATTTGGGCAACGCCACCTCGATCCGTTTGAACAAAGTCATAAATCATAGTCAAGTACGTGAACGGTTAAACAGTATTACGCAAGGTAGTGAGCGGTGTTCGGTAGTTTTTCTCTAGCAATGGATGTGGTATTAGATTAACATTGCGCTTTGTAAAACCTTTTGGAGAAAAGATTTTGAACACGTGCTTAATTACATAAGAAACATAGAGTATTACTATTATCCGTGGAATGTCTAAAATGTCCCTTTGATGTTTAATTTTAATTTTGAATTTCACCCAACCAAGCCTTTCGATATTATTTTCAGATCGGCGTCGCTTTTATTCCGCGATGCATTTCGTCGAACGATCCTAATCAATTAAAAAAAGCTAGCCTCTAGTTGGCTCACGTTTTTGCCGCGCTATTATTGCACAGATAAAATAAACAGTAAAAATGCGCCACCTGAAGCATATCACTTTTTCCTAGCCGGCGTTAACACACTGACGCGGGGCCAACGAATGATCAGGTTCACAAGTAATTAACTACTAATGATATAACGAACAAAAAAGACATCAACCTACCTATCAATCATTCACTATTTCATAAAGGAATCGTTGAAAGAGTAAAAAACACACACACTCCCGTACAATGGCTCACCCGAAATAGCTCGGCGTTCGTTATCAGGAAATTTGAATATTTTTCGTCTTTGGGGTCACGCGCCGTATAGAAATCCTGGTACGGTAATTTCCCGAATTCACGGTTGTTATAAATCGTCGGTTTTTGGTACCTCAATGTTTTAGGCGTCGTGACATGAGCCCGCACCTCGTTGGGAGCGTTAATGAAACAGTTAACCGTTATTTTAATTGCCAATATGCAAGGTGAGGCTGGAAAGAAAGTTCTTTTATGAACCCTCTTACGTATTGAAATATTTAAAAAGTATTAAAATAACACTATATTTATAGAACAAATTGAGGGCAAGTGTGAAAATGCATCTTTCTCTGCACTTTCAAGTCTCCTGGCTACTGCTTAGTACTTAAATAATTTTGTATAAGTACTTACATAATTTAAAAAAATGTAAGAAGAGAACAGAGCTTCTTGCTTTTTCTTCTGGATATTTCTTGTTCAGTGAATCGGTAGTAGTTTTTGACGTCACATAAGAGCTTAAAACAACGTAATAATAGCGTAACTGGAAGTAGTGATGAACTCATCCTAAACGTCATTCCATACATAATAACTAAGTATGAAAAAAGAGAAGCGTCAAAGGAAATTTTTTGTAGACTCAGTAAAATTCTAACTTTCAACTATTCAAATTATTTTAAATAAAATTTGAATACTATTAAAAACACACATGGACATATTGCACCGAACCTATGTAAAAATATACACAACTTATATTATACAACAATGCAAGTTTATTTACTTTCTTTTAAATATACGATTTCTTCAAAGGCATGTTACACGTTTTACAAAACAGATATTTTTTTGTGAATGATGATTACGTTAGCGTGAAGAAAGTAAAAAAAAAAAAAAACATTTGTATTAATTTCTTTCTCGTCTTATTATTCAAACCGCAGGGTCTATTCTATGACATTCTTATTTTTTTATGCTGTGAAAGGTTACACAAACCTTCCACTGGTCAAGTCATTGTGGCAATTCTGCCCGCCTGTCGGTTTTTTAGGAACCGGAAATGTCAAAACGTCGTAATTTTTGAGAACGCGCGCGTCGTGCGTCAGAGACTCGGACAACCTGGCTGTTGAAGTTGATTTATTTTTTATTCCACGTTCCACTTTTCGATTTTTAAACGAAACTTGCGGTGTGAATCACGTCGTAAAGGTGGAGGTTCGAAATTGATTTTCTAGTTTGATGATGTGCGAGGCTTTAAAAAGATATAGATGATTTAAGAAATAAGTTTACGAGTAATATTTACTATTTTACGTTTGGAGTCACTCGCTGTGGTAGCGTAAAAGCTTCTGCAGCATAAATTTGCCACTTCTACCGATGGAGTAACGCAACATTACAGAAGATCGACCTGAAATAGTATTATTAACAGTTTATAAATATTAATTTACATAATCATATACGTTTAGAAGTTATTTTGTACTGATATATGGAAAGTGTTTATATATGGAAAGCAAAAGCGTTTTATTAGAGGGAGGGAAAAAACTGAAATAAGTTTACGCGAAATAAAACAGCAGTTTGCCGATAGTCTCATGATAGAGAAGTTGTAACGTTTGTGCATTGAGCGTGGTTACCGAACAGTGACGTCACGCTTGCGTGACTCTTGCATACGCGACAAATTCAAAAAGACTCACTCTCTCAGCTTAATGCACCTTTTAAGGAAGACAATAGAAGTTACATTTGAACTAACCGGAGCCCTCATTATAATAGCCGTGGAATGATGATTTCGAGGAGTTCTGTTTTCAAATTTGAATGTTTTTTTAAATTGCTTTTTTATTGGACTAGAATTTATGATTGCCAGCGTTTGGTTTGCCGCCAAATGTCAGCCAGGGAACTTAATTATGTGATATTTATTTTAACCGTGTTTCAATAATGACTTCTTAATTCTTGTTGCAGGTACGTTTTAACAAAGCTGACAAGTAAATACTTAGACAAATACGAAGGTTCGTAAATTAATCATGTAAAATTTGTATTTTAATGCCATATAACAATAAAATTGCATGTTAAAGTGACAAATAACCTCACAGTCTGGAAATTGTATCGAGGTTCTGGGGAATGCTTGTCATTATGCATTTTTTATCATTTATAAGCGCACCTCCCATTTATGTATGTTGTACACAAAATAATTGTAAAAGTTTCGTTTGACATTGGCCGCGGGAGTCGGCGTTGCGTAACAATGAAAAAAAAAAGCGGATTTCTATAAATGTGAAACCAATTTTGCTGTTTCACCATAGTTTTCCCACTATTACGCCGCGCGCCGTAGTTAATAGACAAAATGGCGGCGTCACGGGCGACACACACGCTAATGGAGGCTTTATCTTAAGTGTGGCATCGGCCTTACGAGCATCCGTGCTTACTGCGAACTTGGCCTTAGCTTTTGTATTGAAAACTAACGTAACGACTGCATTGTTTGAGATTTTTATAAAGAAAAAAAAACAAACGCGAGTTATTTGCTTCGCAACTCCGCTTCGAACATTTATTGTTTTTTATTGCTGTGTTCTCAGTTAGGAGTCGGCCGCAGTTAGTGAAGACTTTCGGTCTTTTGTAACGTTTACTATAATTACTTATATCAAAATCGGCCTATTGTTTGTGTAATCATCCTGAAATATTAGACAGTACACATGTATACGAGACGTTAATACTTCTATCTAACATAAATATTTAGAAAGATAGCAAGTCTTTCCAGAAACCTGTCAACGAATGAGCACATCATTAATATAATTGGGCGATGACGAAAAAAAGCAGAAATTGGTTTCCGAGCAACTATTTAGTTTTGAAGTGTACCTTTGTTATTTATTTTTTTTTTGCCACGTTATCCTCTGCCATTCACAAGCTAACTGGTGTTTCACACCTTGCGTACTAATAACAGTTCCAATTAACAGGCATAATATGAGTTAAGAATCTGTCAGACACATTCATTGGTTTATTGCAGTGAAACGGTTTCGATAACTTCAATCAACTTTACGATCGCGTTCTATTATTGTATTGATGAACGTTACAGAATACAATAAAGTAACGCGTGCAACAAAATAACTCGTTTTCACAGCTTTTTTACTTATTACCCTCATAGGTGTTCGTAACAGTCTTTAGATATTTATATTGTAGTTGAAGTATGTGACGACAAGGCTCTAAAAGGGTGCAACTTACATTTTGTATACATTCTAGTATATTCGACCGTCTTGTTCTTTATTTTCGGTATCGAGTATTTTCGGGTTCTCT